CTGAGCGGTTTGGTGCATTTTATGGTTTTCTTGGTCCCTTTTAACTTTAAAGATCTGTGTGGTCTTTTGTCTTACAGCATTCCATGTGGAATCCAGGGAGCCTGAAGGAGGCTGTGGAAGTTAGTGGAATGATTCCCTGTGTAGCTGAAACTATGTAAGTATTTGATGCTTGCTTACAAGATCACTTGCTCACCATCAACTGTTAGAGCAGGAATTGCTCCTGATTAGGCATTTGCATTCATCCTCTCGTGCCTTCCCCATTGGAAAGCTGTGTGTATCTGTTCAGAGCTGGAAAAAGATGGGGCACCCCTGATACTGTTCTCTGCTCTCAGCTATTTTAGAAGTCACACGTCTCTGTCTGCTAATAGGTAGATAATGCATAGTGAAAATCTGTGAAGTTCTTACAGACTCTGCCCAAGTGTTTGCAAAAAGTTGAGGCTGGGTTGAGGATTAGTGAAGTTCCAGCAATGTTGGCTTTGCCTTAGCTGATGAACTGTTACTTGGGAAGGGATTTAATGGTTGGCTGAGCTGCGTCCCCTTTTGTTATGAGATTTCCTAAATTTGTCTTTGTGGTGTCCCTGAATGTATGGGATTTTTTTCCCTTCTCTCTTGATATTTTCTTTGTTTTGAAACTCATTGTAAATACCTTGTGATGCAGCACTTTATTAATAAACAACGTAACGCTTGGCTGTGTTTTGTTATTCTCTGTACATATCCAGTAATTTCTATTACTACAGTAACGTTAGTCACTGAAGAAAAATACAGGGTTACTTAAATATGTCCTTTGCATCTTCTCTCTTCCTGCCAGCTCTTCCTTACTTCAGTTCTGCTGTTTTCAATTGTGCCATGGTGTTCTTGTAGCACAGAGAATTATTACTGAGTCACTTTGTTATTTTGCTCTCTTCAAATCTTGGGTTATGTGTGATCTGGTCACTTGAAAATGGAGAGAAATTAATTTCCTTACAGCGCTTTTTAAAAAAAAAACAAAAATCAAACAACCAAAACCCAAACACCAAAAAACCCCCCAAAACAAAAAGCATTAATTAGGTCTTTCAAGTCTTGTCTAGGTTCTCTGTGTAATGTGTTGGGCAATATGGTTCTACACATCTGTTGTTCATAGAGGCTGACTTTCCTTTAACTGGCTGTAGGCACCAGTACTCACTCCCTTGTAGAAAGGACCAGAGAACATCACTGTTGATCTCTGCTTTGCAGTTCCTGTTATGTGTGGAAGGTGGCCTCATGGGCATCTTGATGATTCAGATTTACTGTAGGTTATTGCTCAATACTTGTCTGAGTAATCAAACTTCTTTGGGAGTACTGCATCCTGTGGCGCTGAATCCGTTCCAGCCTTAGCCCCCAGTTTTGATCTTTTTCAGTAGAATGGCAAAACTGCTGGTCAGCGCTGCCTTTAGTGTCTGTGTTACATTGTACAGGCCTGCTACAGTAATTTTGCTGTTGGGAAGTGATCCTTTTGGGACTTGGTGCTTTGCCACCAATCCAGTATAACCTCTGGGTGCACCAGAACTTTATACTTGTAGTTCCCAATCCAGCTGGGAGAAATATCTCTGCGCGTCCTTGTGCGCACTTAACTGTGAGCGACACGACCCAGCCGTGACAATTGCTTTGCTCTACAGTTAAATGAGAAGCTCTGTTTGCCCTCCTGAGAGTGCTTTTTCATACTCCTTGAACACAGAGATCAGTGCAGCTCCTGATGCTGCAATTGGATCCTCTCTCCAGCCTTCCTTAACAAAAGGGCTGAGGCTCCCACTTGTTTGTGTCTCCTTCTGAGGCTCTTGTTCCTCTCATGCCTTGAAACCTGAGTCATGTAGGAAGCGGAGGTGACTAGTAAGTGAAGTGGATCCAGCTCAGTGAAGGCATTTTATAAAAGGGTAGCTGATGGAGCGCCAACAGGCTTGTCTCTTACAAAACCAGATACACACACAAACTGCCAGCGGATGCAGTCTGGCTTTTTTTTTTTTTTTTTTTTTCCTTTCCCAAGCTGATTTTGCTATTTTTGGGGTAGAATGCTTCAAAGTATCTGGCACGTGGCATCAAGTTTCATATAGGAGAAAAGCAAGGAATTGCAGCAACTGTACTTCAGTACCTTCTAGTGTTTGTTCCTAACAAGTAGGATTGTGCTGTGAAAAGCTCCTCGGCAGGGAGGAGGAAGGAAGAGCTCTGTCATCGCCGGGAAGAGCAGTGCTTGCAGAGCCCAGGCAGTGCCTGTTCAGGAGCAGCAGCCAGCTCCTTGTGAGGCAAGTAGGGTGGAGTACAGAGGTGTCAGAGGGGTACGCTGCAGGGGACATGCTTGACTTGCACACTGTGGGTTAATGTTGCTGTGATTTTTGGAATCAGCTATCAGGACACATCCTCACATACAGGTGTTTAATAATGCTGGCTGACCTTCCTTCTCTGTGTTGTCTTTTCATGACGGCAAATGACAATAAACCTTGTCTGTTTCATTGTACTGGTGATGTCACTTTGTAGACTTGAATATTAGATTATCATCATTATACAAGCTGTGGCTTAGGAAGCATGACAGCATGAATCACTTCTGTTGGGAATATTTATGGACAAAGTATGTAAGTTGGTTTTGTAAACTGTTGTGTTGTGGTTTGTTTTTTTTTTACCTTTAAATTGGGATTCCTGAAGTGAATTGAATTCGTGTCTGTCCATTATGCTGCGTGTGTATTTGACTACTACCAGCTACTTTAGAGGAAAGCACCATTTACTAATAGGCAGCTATTCTTTAATCAGCCCATAGGGAAAAGCTGTTCTGAATCCCCAACTACTAATAATTGCTGTTATGTGTTTGAGCAGAAAGTTTTATAAACTAGCTAAACTCTAAACTCTAATACTAGTTTTTACTCAGGGTTTTTTTTTATTCTGTTCCTTTACTTGCATGCTTCTCTCTAAAGAAAAACTTAGCCAAAGTAGTGCTAGCTGCCTTTGAGGAGCTGATGGAAAAACAAGAATTAGTGTAGATTGAGCATTTGAATTCTGATTAATTTAAAGGAGAAAAAAAAAAAAAAAAAGACAGGCTGGTATCTCGGAGTTAATCACTAAGCAGTAATTACTGCTTAATAATATCCTGTTTGTTTTGGTGTATTGAAAAAATGACAGGTGTAGACTAGGGAAGGTGATGTTGCTCAAATGCATGGCACCACAGGAACCAGTGCCAGGCTGTACTCTGCAATTCAAAGAGCTGTGGAGTTCTAAGGGCCAGTGAAATTGTCTTGTGGGTTGCTTATGTGGAAATGCGTATTTTAATGAATCCTTTAAAATACAAATGAATGAGAAATTGTTATTGAATACATTAAATTGACCTTTCCTTGCCTATAAAAATGATGGTACAAAGTTCATCCCTAAGGCAGTTTGATGAGAGGATGTAGCAGACATTGTTCCTTCTGCTGCTTAAAAAGAGTTTTTGTTAGTTTTGTTGGTGGGTTATGGGCTTTAACAAAAGGGAGTGGAGAGGGGAATGGCAGCCAGGTAGTTGAAACCAGCATCCTGGCTGCTAAAGTTGTAGGGGCAAAAATATTTTTTTTGGTTATGAAACTGCATATGTGCTGTTTTGCCAAAGCAAGTATATTGGCTGAGAGAAGATTTATGTTTGTAATCCAAATTTTTTGAGAATTTATCTGCACTTGGTACTGCTGTTCCAAGTTGGTTTACAGCATAAAACAGGGGTTTGGTCTCAGAGGTGCAAGAAAGAATATAGAAAAACTGACATGACATCTATTTTATTTCTTCACTTTTAATTTTCATCTATTTTCTTTCTAATTCTCTAACCAAAGACAAGACAAACCCAATTTTTATCTTTGAGGCTTTTGCCTAACTGACAGGGGAGATGAAATGCAAGTAAGTGGGTAAAGGAGGAATATGATAAGCAATTGCTTTCTTGGAGTTGATGTTTCTGAGAAATGGACTGTCCACAGTGTGGCTGCACGCTGATAGGACAGTGTCAGAGTGTTAGTTTGGTTTTAATAGGGAAAATTTAAGAAACCTTTTCTGTGAGTAAAATATGTTCTCCAAATATGCAAGGCTTTAACATTGTGATTTATAAAAACAGAGTATGATGAAATCATTGTGGCATTTTAATTTTTATTAAAAAACAAACCTGAACTGGAAGTACCGCTTCTTATCTGGATGTGGGTGTCTGTCCTGGAAAAGTTTCATTAAAAAGGCCCCCTCCCCCTGTCTGTCTGGTTACCTGGAGGGAGGAGCCCACTCAAGAAACAATGAATGACTCCGAAACACCATCTTGCGTGAAAAGCGAGTGTGGCCTCCTTTCTGCAGACACACTCCGTGTATGTTTTCAGAATAAAGATCTAAATTCCAAACTCCATTTAAAAAACCCAAACCCAAAGCTTCCTCCCCACACAAAAAAAAACCCCAACCCCCCCAAACTCCTTTTGCTGAAGGTACAGTCTAAATCTAATGCTTAAGTCTCTGCCAGGTTGTCCCATCAGTGTCCCTGTCCCCCCCCTGCAGTGCTTTGTTTCAGTGTTTTATATTCTATATATAAAATGTGGGTATACTTTTTAAAACTATTTCCTTTAAAATATTCCTGGGCTAGGGTAGTCTGTCTTGATGAAGTCTGTACATGAATCAACCTCTTTGTAACCTATGTTACAGTAAGAATTTTAGGAATTTCCTTTATTAGGACCCGTTAGGATACTGCAGCCACTGAGTGAGCTGCATTGATTTCTTGGTAAAACAGCCTGAAATTGCCTGAAATTTATGGCATATGCCAACGTTCTGTACACTACTCCTTTCAGTACGCAACACTTAAATATCCTGAAGTCGGTCTTTTACTGGCAAATGTTATCCCACATTTAATTCTTCTAATATTCTTTGTGGAGAAACAGCAATTTTACTCTGAAACTGTTTTTCAGGTTAGTTGACTGCCGCTAGTGGCATGGTGAGAAGTCTTGAGGAGCAGCTGCGAGGGTGTCTCACGGCAAGGGGACCGTTCTAGAAGCTGGGCTTGGAACATCATGGGCCAGTGTGTCACAAAGTGCAAGAATCCTTCTTCTACCCTTGGCAGCAAAAATGGGGAAAGGGAATCCAGCAGCAAGTCACATAATAAGAGAAGTGCAGTCCACAAAGATGACCATGGTTCAGCTTGTGGGAAGTCTTCAGGAGATATACTTGTGAATGGGACAAAGAAAACGGACTCTGCTGTGGAGTCTAGTCAGCCTCCAACGTTTTCTGGAGATACAAAGAAAGACTCTGTTTCCAGCGCAGAAGAATCTTCGCTCCAAAGGATTGGGGAGTTATTTAGGAGGTATAAGGATGAGCGGGAAGATGCCATACTGGAAGAAGGAATGGAACGATTTTGCAATGACCTCTGTGTTGATCCCACTGAATTTAAAGTGCTAGTTTTGGCTTGGAAATTCCAGGCTGCTACCATGTGCAAATTTACAAGGTTAGTTCTTGTAGAACTTGTAATTATTTTCATATGTTAAAGTATATCCTGTCACCTGTGTGTTGGAGAGACAGCCTCATTAGCTTCACTTACTTATTTCTTCTAACGCTTGCGTTTTAATCAAATTAATTCCTGCCACTGCAGAAGGTAAGCTTTGTATTGTCCTCTTTTCCCCTTCCCCTCACAGTGGGTTTCAGGACTGAAAGAGTGGTTTTGGACATTATGATGAACAGTGTAGTGAGAGTCTGTAGACATTTGTTTATTCTTGATTTACCAAAAGCACTTTTACTGTATCCAGCATTGTCTTGGTGCTGAGATTGGACATTGAAATTAATTTTTGCTTTAAAGCAATGTGAGATTCCTTAGTAATCGCTACCAATTCTGTTGTTATTCTGTAAAGGAATGTCAGACTGCTTCCTAAAAGTTGTTCCTTCCCAACCAGTGTTACACTTAATGTCTTTTTCCAAATAGTCCTGTTAAAGCATAAAGAAGGAAGGAAACACAAGGTTTTTGACACTGGTAGCTGTTTCGTACTGGCTGATAAGTGATGGGTGTTTAAAGTGCTGTCTGTCCTTCTGGACAAGGGAGTCAGTCACAGAATCACAGAATCATCGGGGTTGGAAGGGACCTCAGGAGATCATCCAGTCCAACGCCCCTGCCAAAGCAGGCTCCTTACAGCAGGTTGCCCAGGAAAGTGTCCAGGCAGGGTTTGAACATCTCCAGAGATGGAGACTCCGCAGCTTCTCTGAGCAGCTTATTCCAGTGCTCCAACACCCTCACAGTGAAGAAGTTTTTCATAAAGTATGTGTGGAACTTCTTGTGTTCCAGTGTTTGCCCATTGCCCCTTGTCTTGTCACCAGGCTCCATCCGTTTGGTCCCCGCACTTCAGGTATTTATAGTCATTGATAAGATCCCCTCTCAGCCTTCTCTCTTATAGCATGTGTGATGCTACAGGAAATGACAGAATGGCTAAAACCTAAGAGAACAACAAAACTAAAACAGCCCCTCCCCAACTTGATTACCAATGTCCAGGTAAGAGCAAGTAAAGATTTCCTACAGGGACTTGCTGAGAGAGAATGAGTTTTTAATTTTTTTGGTCTAGCTAGATTGCTTTGAGCAATGCTACCTCTTTTTATTCAGCTAATAACTTTCAAAATTACTGTGGTGTTCTGAGCCTTGAACCAAGCCTCTGCTGTGCACTGAACAGGGATAGCTTTTCCAGCATCTTCAGAGGGTTTGTGGATGTGGGTGTGCGTCAAATGGATGAGTTATTCTGGAATGCAAATGTGGATTTGCTGGAGGCTGCCAGTGAGGGTATTTGCTAACATGGTAAAGGGATTGCAAGTAGTGTCTGCGATTCTGCACAGCCACCCTGAGTTTTAGTAACATCATTTTGGTTTTCTTGGAAAAGGCAAGTCTAGTGGCGAGAGGTTACCTTTGTTTAGGGGCGTGCCCCTCGATACGTGTGCTGATCAGCTTCTTCCATCAAGGAAAGCAATGTGGTCTGCTGTTCTCTTGAGTGCTGCCCTTTCTGCTGCCTTCTCTCCAGCCCATCCTGTGTCAGAGTCTACTGGCTTGGGTTAATATTGGCTGGTTTTAACACTTGCTCATGAGCATTAGAAAAATCACAGCTAACCATCTCCCCACTTGGCCACATTATTAGTAGGCTAATTGGTGTAGGAGTGGTGCTTCAAGCAGTGTTTATATGCTGTGTTGTGGCCTGTGCTCTGTGATGCCCTGCTCTCTTCCCTCTCCCAGCAGGTGCTTTCACTGACTGTTGCAGTTGGGACCTTTTTTTGTTTTGCAGGCTGAAAGAATAACCAAAAGCCACAGGAAAGCCACCAGTGAACTGCTCTGTCCCTTGAGAACAGCTTGCCCAGAGCATGGGTGTTTAGACATGGGCAATATCAAATCAAGCTGGTTTATATTTGTGACGCTTCCATGTGTAAAAGTGGTGTTTTCAAACATTTGGCATTTCTTCTGTGGTAAATTTTATTCACTTTTTAATGTGAAAAGCACTGGATGTGGTTGTATCAAGTAGCCATAGAACCAGACAGCAAAATCTTTCAAATGCTAACAGTGCCCAAACAGATCTGAGTGGTGTCTGTGCTCCTCCGAGCCATGAGGAACTCTTGGAAACTTCTCTCTTTCCAATATGTCCTGTTGCCAAGATCTTTGTGCCACCTGGGCTTAGAGCACACCTTGTCTTGTACAGATAACCCTCCTCTGATTTGGTGTAGCTGAATGGAGATGGGAAGAGTTCGGCACGAGAGGTCGGTGGGAAGCGCTCACACTAACTTATCTTCTCTTGCTTAATAGGAAGGAGTTTTTTGAAGGCTGCAAAGCAATAAATGCGGACAGCATTGATGGCATTTGTGCAAGGTTCCCCAGCCTCTTAAACGAAGCCAAGCAGGAAGATAAATTCAAGGATCTCTATCGTTTCACCTTCCAGTTCGGCCTGGACTCTGAAGAGGGACAGAGGTCGCTACATCGGGAAATAGCCATTGCCCTTTGGAAATTAGTCTTCACCCAAAACAAGCCCCCCATTTTGGACCAGTGGTTACACTTCCTAATCGAGAACCCCTCAGGAATCAAGGGAATTTCCCGGGACACGTGGAACATGTTTCTAAATTTTACTCAGGTGATTGGACCGGACCTTAGCAACTACAGTGAGGACGAGGCCTGGCCGAGTCTCTTCGATACCTTTGTGGAGTGGGAAATGGAGCGAAGGAAAAAGGAAGAGGAAACCAAATGTACTACGTCTTTGGACACAGAGGGCCTGTGTGCAGAGGAACAGACTTAGCGGCGTGGAAGCAGCAGTGACGAAAGTGACCTGTTGCCCTTCATGAAATATAAACTCTGGATGTTTCTGGAAATTACCGAGGCTCCAGATTTTTCTACTTTACACCTTTTTCTGCCTTGTCTTTGAAAGGGCTCTAAAATGCTGTATCATGTTTTAGGCACTTTCTTAATTTTGGTTATTCCTTTTACTCTTGCCCTGAAATATTTGGCCCTGGCTACAAGTTAAGCATTTTTGGGGTTGTTTTTTTTAAGACTTCAGATTAGTATAAGTAAGTCTGATATTTCTTGCACAATGTAGATCTTTTTAGTTAGGTTAAATTAACATTGCTAAATTATACAGTGCCAGATTAAGTTTTTCATACTACATCTGTCAGGGCAGGTCTGTACTGTGTGTAGTGCTGTTTACATTGTTGAAATTTTAGGCTGTAATAATTTTAAGGTTTTACACCAAGATGAACAGCAGTGTTAACTGTTAACTATAAATGCATTAATCCCCCTGATAATAAGGCTCTAAAAAACCAACATAAACAACAGCTTTTTGTAATATGGCTAGTTCCCATTTTAAGCTAACTCTTAGTGAATGAGTCCGGATCATTCCTTTCTTTGGCGTTTCAAACTAAATGTTGGGATTGTTTTATAAAATTACTGTACCTGTCAGTCAACTGAGTGGTAGATGATGATTTGTATCTAAATCTCTTACACAACACATAATAAGAGAGCAGTACTACCTCAGTTTTATTGAAAGTAGACTTCTTGATGGACTTCCATTTTCTCTGGAAGTTGTATTTTTGTGGTTACATGAGAATATTTTTACTTGACTATAAGAACCAAAGGTTCTGCTTCTTAAGTTTGCTAAACATGGACAGAAGCAACACACAAACCCTAAGTCTTCAAGGAAAACTGTGGTATAATTCTGCTTTAATTTGTTTGATTTATACCTAAAGTATTATCTTACTTGTCTGGCAAGCACAGTACTTCTATGTAAGGAACTATCTTTTGCATTAATATTGACAAACCAATTTTTTTAAAACCTATGTTTAATTGCTAAATCGCAGTTAATACTCCACACTTTCTGGAGCAACAATATTGGCATCTGATGACAGAGTGAATTCTTAATGTGTTCTTAATGACAACAGTGTAGATGAGTCATTTTTAGACTGATTTGATAATATTTGGATAGGAGTCAATTTATTATTTTACAATGCCTGTATTGGGACTATTTGCCTGTTGAAACTGTTGTGACTTAAAGGGAGTTTTATTAACACTGGTTGAACTTTTTTGGTTATTGATGCTACCTTTTTTAATTTTAGTATGTCAACTTTTTTACACCTTTTGGTAAAAGGGATGTTTGCCAAGGCTTTCTATAGAGCTAAGTACTGGCTTAATGAATTTGATACACCTCCATGACATGCCTTTTATTTTCAGATCTGCATTTAAGGATCATAAAACAGCTTCAATTAAAAAGAAACCACAACAAAAAACAAACCGAAACAAAAAACCCCTGGACAGTCATCCATCACATCTCATGGCTTTTGGGATATAAGGGTGTTAAAGCTAAAGGGAAACAGATTTTAAATGGCGAGGTTGTCAGTGGATCCAGGATGGCACGCTTTGCACATCTGCTGTGCCTCAGAGGGGTTAGCAGAGAGAGGAGGAGGAGGATCTGCCTGAATTCCATCACTGGCTTTGCTGTTGAGCAGCCTATGCAATAGCTTGGGTCTGAGATCACAAATTACTAACCAAACCTGGGTGTTGAAAACTGTTTAAAGCCAAACCCACGGGCCACAGAAAGCCTCTCTTTTCATCTCATAAAAGGAGAGTTTGGTCCATGCAGCTTTTGCAGGCTCTTGCTGGGAGATGTGTTAAGCTGGAAAACAAAGGTAGTTGTTGCAGGTGATGCAGCGGGGTCTGTCCCTTTGCAGGAGGGGGGCCCTGAACTTGCTGTGTTGTAGGCAAATACACCCAAATCTTTGTCCTTGCTACTATAACCTTCCAAGCTACCATGGCACAAGCACTGTTTGGCAGCAGAACCTGACTCTGATTTGGTGAGCAAAGCACTTGTGCTTGGATAATTGAATTTATGGCGAGACTTTTGCTGGTGCTGTTATTTAAAAAAAAAAAAAAAAATTCCCCAACAGAGGCTGCTTTGTTAGGAAAAGTTCCAAATGGAGACTGATTTGATAGTAAATGAAGACTGTATTTAAAAGTTTGAGACTACTCATTAATTCAGCTATTAAATGCTTTGTTCATCTCTTAATTTATTTTTTTTTTCCCTAAAGGGCATTTAAAATTCTTAGAATGCAAAAACTAACTATTTGAATTGATAGCCAGTGCACACACATGCACACAGAATTGTGGCAGTGGCTGCTACTGATCTGCGTGCTAAACTGCAGCAGCTGGAAGGATGAGGGATGGAGCTCTTGAAGGCATTCATTATCTTGTGGTCTGAATGTGGATTGCAGTAAGGAAATCAATCTGTGGCACATCAAGGCTTTAGCCATTTTAGTGTATCAAATGTAATACAGCTCCTTTTTGAAAGTGGTGATGGTGAATATACAGGAAGGGAAAATCTTATTTCCTGTTGGGGAAAGGACACACAATTCTCAGTGGCTTAAGCCCTGTGCTTTCAGTAGGAGAGGAGGACAGCCTTGATCTTGTTCTGCTGCTTTCAGCCTGGCAGGAGCAACTCCACCCGTTGGGGAGGATACTGGCAAAAATAGCCAAGTGATCTGTCTAGTGAAGTACCTTTTTTTTTTTTTTTTTTTTTTTTTTTTTTTAAGCCTAATTTCATGTTTTTAATTACCGTTTTCAGAATGCAAGCCAGACCTGTATCAGTTTTAAACTCCTGAACCAGGAGCTGAAGGTGCAACTCTGACAGTGCTGAAAGTGAGAGGGGGCGTCAGACCTTCCCTTGGACTGCCTGGTGATTTTGGGATCCTGAACGAGAATAGACCCTACTCTGTAGTGCTGGTGTGCCCGTGTGGGACTGGGGGTTTGTACACGTTCCTGAGAAGTCTTTAACGATACTGGAGCCTCTGAAAATATGCTTGTTCAATGGTTAAACTGTGAATATCTGTGGAACAGGCCAAATACATTCACTCTTCATTTTTATATAGTTTTATTATGTAGGGCACAGGACTGTCGTAAGCAGTGATGCTGATGAAATCCTTGAAACCACTGCAACTATTTAATTTTATTTTTTTTTTATTAGTATGCATTAGAAAACTTGATGCATGTAGTGAATCTGCTGCAACTTGGGATAAATAACTATAGCTAACTATATAGGTATTTTTAGTAATATACTGGAAAACTGGTCTGACATCCACATTCTGTGGCATTTTATTGCCTTCCCTTACACGCAAAGAAATACAACTCCTGCAAACGTTACTCCTGAGTAATAAAACACTGATCACCTGCACCACATTATAGTTTGCAACACCTTTAAAATTTGGCTCCCAGATAAACTGGAGGCTCAGTTGTGCTAATTCTTACTTGTGTGGGTGCATTTCTGAGGTCAAAGACTGTTTATTGATTCAAGTAAGGATTTGAAAGATTCCGCCCATAGCTGGCCATAAAACGTGACTGAGGAGGAGATTAATTGAAATTAAATGCTGAATTGTGAGTTTACCTGCTGCTGGTGCTATGCTATATGGAGAATTACAGCTTTTTAATACTGTGCAATTGTAATGAAAGAACCACGGGAAAAATAAATGAAGGTGTGGTGGGTGGCATGGAATCAGACAGCTGAAGGCTGTGGCAGTTCAGTCCGCCCCAGGACGAGCGCTGGCTTCCCCGGGCTGGCACGGCAGATCTGCTCATGAATCAGCCTCTGAACCACCACAGCTTTTCAGCCAAGCACTTTTTATGAGCATGAAATGAGTCCACTCTGCTCTGGTGAGGAGTGAGTGACCCAGAGTTGGTCACAGATAGCTGTGGCCCCTGCTCCTGAGGGCAGGGTGGCTGTGGGGTGGGGGTTCAGAGTGCTGGGGGCAGCAGCAGCTTTGTCTCTGACTTTTATTTCACTCCTGGTCTGTCTGTCAGAGCCTGAAGAACCCGTGGATCCCAGGACAGGTACTGGCCTGTCACCTGTGATTCCCAGACATGGCTATGCACTGACTAGTGACCTTAGTATTTTCATGACACTGTCAACATAAGTATCTTCCTTACAGTTCCAAGCTTTGTTTAAAAAAAACCCAAACAAACCCAGAAACACTGAAGAAACACCATATAGTTAATAGCCACCTCAGCTGTGATGTAATTTGTTGGCTGAGGTTACATCATTCCCATTCATCAGAATATAATAGTCATTGTGAGTTTCTGGATCTTGCAGCCTTTGTTCTGCAGTGTGATCCTTTTTTAAAAGATCCTTGGTAAACTGGGTACCCAGTTCATCCCCTGAGCTCACTCTGCTTGAAATGTGTGCATGTGAATTTGCCTGTCACATCAAAAAGGAAGATGCTTAACCTGAAACTCAAAATTCTTCAGGGTAGTATTTCAATATACAGCAAAGCATAAATATTTTTTGAAATAAGTATTGAAAGCTAAGTGTCTGCTTAAATTTTGTTGTGTGCAAACAAAAGCATCAGTGTTAAAATTTTCTCTCTGGACTATTGAAGATCGAATCTTTGGTTTTACATTGTCAACTGAAGTGAAACACATGAGATTGTAGGACAGAAGGCTGTAACTTCTTTACCATGAAGTACATAGGTATCTCTACCTCTTGTTTTTAGACTTGAATAGTTGAAGGTTGCCATCCTTTTTTCCCAGGATTTTATGCCTGGATGAGTAATCTTTTTTTTTTTTTAATTGACCCAAATTAAGTATTATCTCTTTGCCATACTTTTTGGTATACTGCTTTTAATCTGCATGCAATCGACCCTTTGAAAGGGAGCCAAGTCCAGCTGCAAACAAGCGTCGGTCCTGCCGGGTGCTAGTTTTGGGGTGCAATAGAGTGACCGACTGGAGCGACATCGCATGTGGCTCAGGGCCTTTGTCATCACAGCCTCTTCCCTGGTCAGGCTACTTGGGCTGACAGTAAATTGAAGGTGGAGCAGCTGCTCCATCTGGACCTTGAAAGACTTTAGGAACCCACCTGATGCAGCGCCATGAGTGTATTTTTCTTTTGATGAAAAATACTGTGTTTTGTTCAGTGTTGGACTGGACCTGTAACACCCAGCAAAGATGGGAGTTGCAGAAGCGTAAAGGGTGCACACAACCTTTTCCTCCCTGAGGTCAGAATCTTGCTCAGGATAAGACCCTTTTGCTTGAGCCAAGCTGGAGCATTCTCAGGTGTATTGGACATGCTGGAGTAGCTTCAGGGCTCAGTTGCATTCATTAATGCATGTAGGTGATGTCCCCTTTTTCTGCAACATATCTGTCCCCCTTGCTTTCCTCCCCCCAAAGAAAACTCCAACAGAATTGCTGGCATTGCAAATCCCAAGTAGATGCTGTGCTGTCGCAACCGTTGCTACAAGATTCTTCCAGTTTGAGGGCTGCTTTTGGGATGTGACCTCTTGCACTATCTGGACGGGCACAGATTTTAAGAGAACAGGGGGCATGTGAGAATACAGAGCATGAACGTACTGGTCCTGCTAACAGCCTGCCTTAAATCACAGCAGTTCCTCGCTACTATTGCAATCCTCAGTCTTTCTGTAGTTAGCTTTTAAAATTCAACAGGTTCTGGAGGTTATACAACTTCTAAATATTTTTTGAAAAAGCTTCTAT